AGTTGAGTGAACTATACTACAATATAAATTTTTTGTTCATTAAAATTTTAAAAAATATATTATTTTCAATGATTTTCTTATGTTGAATTGAAAAAAATTATGCTTTTTTTCATATATATTTTTTAACTTATTGTGACTGTATTGTTGTGTAAAAGCTTAAAGATATATTACGAATGAGAAAGATAACAAATCATAAAATTATAATTTATAAATTGTAATGACATTATATTATTTTGATGGTATATTTTTTCTATTGACAAAATGTTCCCCCAATATAAAATTATTTTGGATATGCCACTACAATTAGTTTTTCAATGGAACTTACACTGATTTGTTTACAATTTTAATGACAATTTTGTCACCGGTTAAAATATAGTTCGAAAAAAAATTAACGGAATTTGACACAACAATAAATAGTGGTAATTGGAATCATTAAAATCCATTAAAATTCCAATGTAATTTAATTCGATATTTGTTAAAATAGCCCATAAAATTTTCCAATGAAAGTTATACCAATGAATAACCGTTGAAGTTTTCAGCATAATACATGCCTTCAGATTTTTCATTGCAATATAGCAATTTTTTTGTATTTCTTCTGAAATATTAAAATTTTTATGTAGTCGTTTTTGTTAGTACATATTCTTTTTTAAGAAATCACTCATTATTTTATCTCTAGATTACCCATTAAGTTCTCAGTTGAGTTACATTTCTTATATATTAATTAATAAATAATAATAATAATAATAATTACTATTTTATATATGTAATATGATATTTATATATTATATTTTAAAACTAATAGCAAATAAAAGGTTAAAAAATTAGAATAATAATCTTTTCTTAAGAAAAAAATAAATAAAAGTTCTATCCTACATGGATTAAAATACAAATAACTATTTTCTATCACCTAAAATTTACACATACAAGTAATAAGCACAAAAAATTAATAAGTGCTTACAACTCAACTCATTTACATCGATAAGTACAAGTCTTAAAAGTTTATATTTGCTTTTATTAATTATAAAATTTTTATTTATTACCTTTTTATATTTATTAGTAAGTGTTACGACTTAATTATATTTTTAATATTATATGTTTAATATATATATATATATATGTGTGTGTGTGGTTGTGTGTGTGTGTGTGTGAAACTTTTAGATTTGTAAAAAAATGCATAAAATTAAGTATAGAACTTTTTGGATCACATGTCTTATTATAAATCAATTAATTGTATATCTTTATATATATATATATATATAATTATGATTTTTTAGTAATTTAATTATATGATTTTTTTTTAATATTATAATTAAATATTATAATTTATAAATTCATCAATTATATTGTCGATCGAATTATACTGCAACATAAAATTTTTGTTCTTAGAAACTTTTAAAAATATATTATTTCAATGATTTTCTTATGTTGAATTGAAAACAATTATGCTTTTTTTTTCTTAAATATTTTTTCACTAATTATGACTGTATTAATGTGTTAAAAATGTATTACAAATGAGAAAGATGATAAATTATGAATGTATAATTTATATATTGTAATGACATTATGTTATTTTGATGATATTCTTTTTCAATTAATTGAATAGCGTCGCAATTATGAAATTATTATGGATCCGCCAATGCAATTAGCTTTCTAATGGAACTTCTATTGAAATTTTTATAATTCAATTGACAGTTTTTCCAACGGTTGAAATATGGTTAGAAAAAAATTTCAACGTAACTTCAACAACAACAAATAATCGCAATTGGAATCATTAAATCCACTAAAATTTCAATATATTTAATTTGATCTTAATGGATAACCAATTAAATTTTTCAATGAAAGTTATACCAATGAAATATCCGTTGAAATTTTCAGTGGAATAACACACCATTGGATTTTCATTGCAATATAACATTTTTTTTGTATTCCTTCTTAAATATTAAAATGTTTATTTTGTTTTTTTATTAATTAATTTTGTTTACAAATATTGTATAGAAAATATATTAAACACATGAACTTTTCAGTCCATGTATATTTTTTAGAAATCACTCATTCGTTTATCTCAAGATTACTTATTATATTTATCAATTGAGTTACATTTCTTACTTATTAAATATTAAATAATAAAAATAATTACTTTATATATGCAATATGATATTTGTATATTATCTTAAAAAAATTATGACAAATAAAAAGTTGTTTTAAATTATAAAAAACAAGTTGATTTTATTTAAAAAAAATTAAAAGTTATAACTTCCATTGATAAAGTACAAATAACTATTGTCTATCACCTAAAACTTACACATAGAACTAAATAAGTAAAAAAGATTAACAAACGTTGAACAAGTCGACTCGTTTACATCAAAAAGTACAAGTTTTAAAAGTTTTATATTTAATTTTATTAATTATAACCTTTTTATTTATTGCTTTTTTTTTATATTTATAAGTAAGTGTCACAACTTAATTATATTTTTAATATTATTCTTCATATTTAATATTTTTTTACTTTATAATTCTTTCATATGATTTTTAATATATATATTTATATATTAACTTTTCGATCTTTAAAAAATAGATAAAATTAAGTATGGAACTTTTTGTGTCATATGCCTTATTACATATCAGTTAATGTAATATCTTTATTACATTATATATAGTTACAATTTTTTCATTAATATTATACTCAAATATAAAAATTTGTTATTTTATATAAATTTGGATAGACGGATACTGGTAATATATCGATATAATTTCTTGTAAAGATTAATTAAAAAAAGAATGAAACTAAAGAAAGACAGGAGAGCAAAGCGAGACTCCTAGTTGACAGGAGAGAAGAGATTACATTGACGAAAATACCAAGTACAAATATATATCGCGCGCGGGCCCAACTATACGGTTGCTCGCCACTCTTGCAGATAGAACTTTATTCACCAGACGGGTATTTTCAACGTATATATGCATATCATGATTCTCAAGATATTCTCAATTAATATGTAGATAATTAAAAATTTTAATTCTCATTGTTTATTTAGCGTCCATTAATTATTGAATGAAAAAGTTTAAATATTTTAAGTGTAAATAATTAAATATTATTCACCTTGATATTAACCACCTAATGGTCAGGTGAAGATTCGTTAACTTTATTGACTTTGTGACCAAAATTGAAACAAACAAACAAACAAACAAACAAATACATGACGATTTTTGTGGATCAAAATCCAATCCAATAAAACTAAGGTTCAATTTCTATGTTAATTCTACATAAAAGATTTTATTATCTTAAATATTGAAGAAGTTAAATGAATTGTTCACTTTTTAGCTTGTTCGATTATGTATATATTTCACGGTGCATGATTTAAGTAAAATTTTAGGTATCGTCTCTTAATTAAAATGTTGAGAATATTTGGATTCTTTATAAGTACTTATTATGCTATTTTTGTTGGATGAATTTAAAAAAATAAAATTATATATTATAATTATAAATATGATTTCGATTTTACATTAAAATTATATTTAAAATAAAGACGTTTTTCAAAACTTCAACTATATATATTTTCATAGCTTTGTTGGGTTGATTTTTGGAAGATATGAAAGAAAACAGTTTGACAAATATGTGAAAGAAACAAATTGGTGATGAATAATGGTATGAGTGTGTTGAGGTTGATTTTTAGAAGAGCTGGAATATATGTCCCTTGAAGCTACAAAGGTTAATCGTCAAAGAAACTCAGAGGATATGTTTATCTTCTCAACATTAGGAATAAACTCCTTAAAGTGAAAAGAAAAATATCCATTTGTGCCAAATATATATCAGCGGAGCGAAATCAAGTGTAAGGGAATTATATTTAATTAATTAAATATTAGTTATTAATTAAAAATATAAGATGATTATCGGTGTAGTATTAATTTGTCATTCAAAGTAAGAGTTTTTTAGGTAATTCATTTGTTAATTAAAAATATAAAATAAGATGAGTATTACTGTATTACTAATTTGCCATTAAAAATATATCAAAGTAAGAGTTTTTTAGACAAATCATTGTTTTTACAATTACGAATTTTCCATTAAAAATATGTCAAAATAAGGATTTTTTAGGCAGATCATTAATTTTACAAAATCACTCGTCCTTTTATAATAGTATAGATAGATAGATAGATATCATCCAAAAAGTTGTCAGACATCATTAAATATTGATTCTTAAAGTATAGAAACTGGACAAGATTCACTTCTATAGACAAATAAATAGTCCTTCAGGGCACATATTCACTTTTTCAAACAATACAAATATAAGATACAATTTAAATTAACTCTTTTTCTTTCAATAGAAGAGAAAAAAAATAAATAAAAGTGAGAGCCAGGGATAATTAAGAAGGTTGCTTGCTAGGAATGAGAATGGACGAAAAGGGACAACCGCACAGCAAAATAGAAAAAATAGATGAGTGAAGAATCAGCACATTTTTTGGACAAAGTAAGAACGCAAAAAAGAAAAATAGAAAAACTCAATCTGCTATACAAATCCCGTTGCAGTTGATGTTATGAGGGTGCACCGTACACATGCTATCTTAGCTCGCGATTTAGTAGTGTGTGTATGAATTTCAAAGCTCATATTAAGCTTGAAATTTAGCACAAGACTTCCACCCTTCTTGTTGCTTTAACTAGATAGAGGCGGCAAGGAAACTAAAAACGTTGGTAAATTATCACGACAACAGCAAAAACATCATGCAAGTGAACCAAAATGACATGCAATAAAACAAAAGAGATAAAATCTCAAACAGCAGCACAGAATTCAAACAAACAAAATCTCCAAGGTATTGCAGCAAAAACATTTTATGTCATCCATAGTCTGACATTAACCAACAGTATTCTTATAGCTCCCTAAACAAATTGCAACATATCATCCAGACACAAAACAACATATTTCTGGAAAACTCCACCAGCACTCAACGGTTGGCCTTGGCAACCCTCTCAATCTCATCCTTCTTCTTAATAGCATAGCTGCAGAAACAAGGAAGCCATCAACATGCTAGCTCAAAAAGGCTATACGCTACACATATTCTTGGTGTAAGAAAATTTCGTCACCTGTTTGAAGATCCTTTGGCAGCATTGATAAGCTCATCAGCAAGACACTCAGCAATGGTCTTAATGTTCCTGAAAGCACTCTCACGAGCACCCGTCGTGAGCAAGTAGATGGCCTGATTCACACGGCGCAGGGGAGAGATATCAACGGCTTGCCTCCTCACAACTCCAGCAGACCCAATACGGGTGGCATCTTCCCTTGGCCCACTAATAACATCAACCACCAAACAAATATACACTTCATCAACAAACCTTGCCAGTTCCCAGATTTTAACATTAAAAAAAACAATCTCAACATGATAAATGTACACGCGGTGACAGCCAACCTGTTGATAACAGCATCAACAATGACTTGAATAGGGTTCAGATCAGTCAACAGATGGATGATCTCCATAGCATGCTTCACAATCCTAACAGCCTTGAGCTTCTTCCCGTTGTTTCGGCCGTGCATCATGAGGGAGTTGGTCAGCCTCTCAACAATTGGGCATTGAGCCTTCCGGAAACGCTTTGCTTGGTACCTTCCAGCAGTATGTGGCATGTATGTCGGATGCTTGGCTGCTGTTGCAGTTATGTAATCTTCCACGGAAATGTCACTAACCTGAAAGAGGGATAAAAAAAAAAAAGTAACAAGATCAGTTTCACGCACGCCTGGTTACATGAAGAAACGGCACAAAGAAGACCAGGGCTACATGTCAAATGTTAAATATCATTCTTGGATATTCCCAGTCTAAGACTGGCATAATCTCTGACAACAAGTGTGGGGTTATAATTTTCTAATCCACCTTTAAGTTATCATAAATGGGCTGCAAGTGCAAGCTTAATGCACTATAGTTGGTTAAAATTCGGAGGCTTCATAATATGAAGGCCATGATTGACGGTTTTTTTACTTTGGCAATAATTCTTGTGGCATCATAAAATATTACAACCAAGAATATTTGATAGCTTTCACCTAAACCAAATTTAATGGTCCAAAAAGCAGTTTACTCTTAAATTATGTAAATAGCAGTCCTAAGTTGCATTGAATAACAAGATAAGATATTACTAAACCCAAATCAGCAAAACTTCTCAACTTCAAATTCATGGCTTCATAGCTTCAAGCAAAGTGTTTCCACATATGAAACAATCACTTTGTCCAGATTTCAGCTAAACAAAGCTAGAATCCAAGATAAGCCAATTCACAAAATTACATGATATCAAATTAACAACCCACATAAAAATTATAACAAAGAGAACATCATGGGTTCTAGTCTACCTTCCCTTAAAGATCAAAACTTTTGACTCATTTAACCTCAATCATTTATACAAGACTGTGAATCATGAAGAGGGTGCACTCAAAACGTCTATATTGAAAGCACAAATTTCAATTAACAAATCAAAACAACATAAAGGTAATTTGCTAAAAGAAGAAAAAGCTGACCTGCACTTCATCATAGGGCCAGCGGTTGAACAGCATAATGCCGCACTGAGCCTTCTCCACCTCGGTCACGGGGGCCACCACCACCTCTTCTGTCGCCATATCTTCTTCTTCTTCACCTGGTCAAACCCAAACATAACAAAAATACCAGTACTCAGCTGCTGCTAAGAAAGATCCATACAAAGAATTACGCAAACAGTTAACATAAGGCCAGACGAAAAACACTAAACTCTTCTTCTAAGCTGGTGACGGCGTTGCCTCTGCGAGTGAGCGAAATGAGATGATGCAGAGAAATGAAAAACCCTAGCGGCAGCTATAAAATGACTCGTGGGGGGTGTTTTGATATGACTATAATACCCTTCTTTGTATGACGAATTTGCATTTGTGCACTCTCTCGGATAAAAATGTTGGTAGGTGGGCTTCTAGATCTAGTCTACAACATGAGCAGCCCCTGGAGTCCACATGTGGAAAGCCCATAAACAACAACAACAACAACATACCCAGTATATTCCCAACAGGTTGGGGTCTGGGAGGTCAGTTGTACGCAGACCTTACCCTTGTAATTATACAAGGAGACTGTTTCCGTAGCGACCCAAGGTGCATTGCGCCGTTTGATATATTTTATTTTTCTAGAAACTTCACCAATAGAAGAAGCACTAGAATTTGATTGAGCCATTTTGATCTAGTCCATTATTAACACTATGCCAGGAGAATTGTCAACAATGACTCTTTCAGCTCCATTTGCAATGGAAAGCCCATAAAGTATTAAAAAATTTCAATGTTTAAATATTGTATATATATATATACATTTGAAAAAATATTACATTTTGATAACTAGCTATTGTTCAAACCGAACATAATTTCTTGAAATTCAATAATTTCTTGAAATTAATTGCTAAATACCGCACCCATTTTACTACGTACCGCACCCCTAAAATACTAAATTACCCTATAATTAAAAAAAAATCAAAATTGGAAATTCAGTTATAGGCCCCCAAACCCGTCGGCCCACCACCCACCATATCAAAAAAAAAAATTTCGTCCTCCTTCCCAAAACAAACCGCACAAAATCAAAAAAATTGAAAGAATTTTTTTTTTCAAAAATCATTCGAAAAAATCCCAAAAAAATCGAAAAAATGGCCGGACGACAACCAAGAGACGGCAAGAGTACTAGGAATCTACAGGTACGTTTTTTTTTTAAAAATTTTA